TTTTCTATATACAAAAAAATTTTTTTGAAAAAAAAAAGTTGAAACAAAATTTTTTTTTCAAAAATCAATTATTTTGTTAAGACAAGCAGAAAGTTCTTTGAATCATTTAAATCGGACGCTTAGTTCTCTCAACTACTGCCATTTTTTGCACATTTATCTCCGTATCTTGTAATGGCTGAGCCTGCCTTTGTCAAAAACTAATCAGCTCATTTCCCTATCAATAGAAATCGAATGCTTTTTGAACCATTCAAATCGGTTGATCCGTGCGCCCGAAAACGTGACTGGAAATTTATATTCATACATACATACACAATGTTTAGAAACCTTCAAAACGTCGAGAAATGTAAAAATTTTCAATTTCGAATTTCGGCCCATTACAATAACTTACCCTTTGGGAAGTTAACAAATGATATTTTAAAGAAAAACAATTTTACTTGAAAACTTTAATAAAATAATTGGCGCTGCATTTTTTATATAAGTTGATCAATATCAGCCGTTTTTTTTTAGATTCTGTTCTTTATTTTAATTTTTTTTAACGCGTATACAGCTTTAACATGTTTTACTCAATTTTGATAGGTGCTAATTTTTTATGAATTTCGATCTAGATTTTTTTCTGAATGAATTAATTATTTTCCAGCGACTTTTCTTTTGTGGACCTGTGTAATTGTTCGCGCACATACGTATTTCCAAAAAAAAATTCGAATCATAATTTGATTTGCGTTTTTTTTTCAACAGCGAAAATTTCTCAGGGCTGACATAAGATTTATAAAAAAATTCGATGTTTACTGAAAAAATGAATTTTTTAAATCTGTATTATTTTGCATGTTAAATGGCGAAGAAAACATTTGTCTTGTTAGCTTTGAACATTTGGAATTACAATTAAAATTTGTTCACATTTTCTTTTTTTCAATATGAAAAGTGAAACATAAGATTCTGCAAAAGATATTATTCTTTATTACCAAAATGACGAAAGAACTATAATTATTATTTCATATCCAAAAACAGAAACCAAAAACAGAAAACTAGCTGTTAGTGGAATTCTGTCTTAAGGCAATTAGGGCATCGTGCCTTAAGGCAAATTGCTGGAACTTCCCGTGCCGCAATTCAAAATTCGAGTAAGGGATCGTTCAAGTATTACGTAAGCAGATTTATTACAATTATTTACCACCCCATCCCACTTGTCAGCAAAAGTAAGCAAAGCTCTTTATGACGTAATCATCATCCAGACTCCCCCGCCCCCCCATGTCAACATAAAATAAGCAAATCAACAACCCTCCCGCCCCCCTATAGTGCTTACGTAATACTTGAACGGCTCCTAATTAAAAGTAATCAATAAAAGTTGATCAATGATTTGAAACTTTTAATAGAATTTCGAACCATATTGAACCATAAATTCGAAACCATATTCGAACCATCGTGTGCAAAAACATATCGTGTTGAAATAAAAACGTAATTTCTGAAATATATTATAATTAATTAATAATATATTATATATATTATATATTAATTATTAATATATAATAATTAAATAATACAATAATCAAATAATTCAAAAAATATTTTTACATTAGCATTTCCCAATAATTTAAAATCAACAAATGAAACTGATTATATTTTAATTAAATTGTCACTATAAATAATTAATTATTTTTTATTCGTCAAATTTTACTTAAAATTTAAAATGTTTACTTAAAATAAAATAATTTTCATGAAGTACAAATAATATGGAAAATAATAAATAGAATTATATATACTGCGGAATATTAAAAATTATTTGTATTTATACTGAAATTTTATTTTATTTATATTTATTATATTTATCTAAATTGAGACAGTATTTTTCAGTGAGTAAAATAGTATCGTCAACAGATTAAATAAAAACATTCTTGCCAATTGAACTTTTAAAGTCGAAAACAAATTTTGAACTTAATCATATTTTATTTGAAATAATATATAAAGGCGCATTAAAATATTGAGTGTATATATATTTATATATATATATATATATATATATATACCATTTATTACTGGCCTAGCTAATATTACCCTTTAATAAATAAATAAATATCAATGAAACTTGATAGTATGGCACATGTTGTATACTCTTGATTTATTAATCAGCGATATTTTGGATGTAATTTATTTAGTTACACTTGAAAATATATCCAATTACACGAACGATTATTGGAATAAATTTTTAAAATAAGTTTTTAAAATTCTGTATTTTGAATTAAGCTAAAATATTAAATAAGCTATAAAAAATAATGAAATGATTAAATTAATTTTTATAATAAAATATTTTACACTAAATAATACGTCACATCGTCATTTTGATTAAAATTAATTAAATATCGGGAAGTTTGCTTTGCATATTATTATTTTTATATATTTATTTGAAATGATATATTAAATATTTTTCTTGCCAGTGCAATGACTGATGAATTTTAATTCAACCAACAAAGGTGTTAACGGTATAGTTATTGAGTTCCGATAGAAGTCTATAGAATAACCAGATTAATAGCATTAGTATGAATTTCACATCAAGGCATCAGGTAATAAAAGGATTAGTGCACTGAATGCAATATTAATCCTTTTTTTCAAAAAATTGGCCTGTACACTATTATTACATCTAATTAAGCAATTTAAATAATAATAATGAATACTGTACTTTATCCATTGCCTAATATTATATTTATGTGCGTTTACGTTCATTAGTGCGTAAATATTTAAAAAAAAATGGAAACTGAAAACTGGATTTTTTTTTCAAAAGTTTTAAAATTCATAAAATTTATTTAAATATTTCGAAAAATTTTAGAATATTTTTTTTTTCAATTTTTTAAATTTATTAAAAAAAAATACTTTGGAAATATATTTAAGTATTTGTTTTTTATAAATAAAAAATTTGAAAACATAGGCATTTTTTTTCAAAACCGGCCTTCCCCGAAAACTAATAATTTCTTCCCATCGCCAACAAAACCAAAATGTTAATTAATGTTCTTTCTCATCATCCGATTAGAATTATTCGCTTGCTCAAAAACGGCATGATCATTTTTGCACCCTCTGCTCCAACAAACTCGTCCTAAAATGACAGCGCGACCGCGCTTCGTACCTGTTCTAGAGACAAAATATCAATACGCGATAGCGCGCGTAGCACTAAAACAATATAATATTTCTATTCATTATTAAAAGTTATATAAAATAATTGATACTCTGATGTGTATATGTCTAATGTTCATTTTTGACCGCCAAATGGCTCATTTTTTTAATTTTTCCTCCATATCTCCAAAGTCGTTGGACCTGCCTTTCCAAAAATTTGAACAGTTTTTTATTTAGTCAAATAAAATGTTTTTTGAATTATTCAAATCGGACGCTCCGCTTTCTTAAAAACTGAGTTACCGTTTTCGGCACTTTTTGCCCCGTATCTTCGGAACGGATAGACCTGCCTTTGCAAAAAACTAATCAGCACGTCTCCATATCAATACGAATCGAATGTTTTTTGAATTATTCAAATCGGTTGATCCGTGTTCCCGAAATCTTCGACGAAAATTTGTATCCACACACACACACGCACACGCACATATACACACATATAAAACAATTTTTTCTAAGGTAATTGTGAAAATTTATTAAAAGTTGGATTTATAGCCAACGAAAAATAAAATTAAAAACTAAACCAATTGAATTGAAGTGAAAATAATAAATAAAAAGCGTAAATAGTACTTAAGTACTATTTACGCTTTTTATTTATTATTTTCACTTCGATTCAATTGGTTTAGTTTTTAATTTAATTACCATGGATTATTAAAATCTTCCAATTTAACACTAAGATTAACTAATTGTAATTACAATTAGTTAATCTTAGTGTTAAATTGGAAGATTTTAATAATCCATGGTTTCAGGGTATGGTAATGCGCTATATTTTGTATTATAAGCATTAAACTTGTAATTACACAATATTTTCAGAAAATACTAATGTAAAAAATCACAAATAGATAGTGTGTTGTTCGTAGACTGAAGATATAATGGAGAAAAGACTTTTTAAAAAATATTTGTACCAAGATTCTACACATGTGTGAAACGAATTGCAAATCCTTTGTGCGACAGATACAGCGCAATTCAATCAAAGTTTTGTATGGAAAAAGCATGAACAAATTTTCACAAATTTTGCAGAGCGTTGAATTTTCAATAAGAAATGACACGAATTTCCCCTTTTAATTCATTTGTCGCTAAGTTATTCCTAAAAAAAATTTTTTTAACTTCCAAAATTTTTTCCATGCTATTTACATACAAAGTTTGATTGAATTGCGCACTATCTAAAAGTTAATATTAAGAGTTAAAACTTTCAGAGAATTGTTTTTTATCAATTTGGAACCATTTGAGCCCCGGGAAGCAAGGAAATTCGAAATGTCCATATTAAGGGACACCCAAATATATATATACAGTAGAATCCGATTAGTATGACGCCGGATATATTGACAACCGCTTATTATGACGTAATTTTAAAGGCAGTTTGGTTTCCATATAAAATTTCTTAAAAAAACAGCTGTCTAGCCGGATATGTTGACCTCGCTTACATTGACATTTCGCTTATAATGACCCATTTTTGAAAAAAAAATTGGTCCAAGTATAATGACCGACATGATTTTACACCTCCGATAACATAGAGTTCATGTTTTTCATTGCACATTGTTATGGTATGGCACCACTGTGAACTACCCTTGTGTGTCAGGTCGCTACATACCTTCAGGTCTCTATGTTGCACGAGATTCGCGCTATGGAAACTTTGGCAACTTCCGGCATGGACGACCTCGTGCAAAAAATAAGTAGGCTCATTCTTGGTGTTCGAAATTTGGAAGCGATAACATCTGCTATAATTTACTGAATTAGTAAACTTCTATATTTTTTACTATTTTTACCCAGTAATTTTTTCTACCCTGTAAGTTTTACTAGTGTACAGTGTGTTTTCAATCAGTTCAATATAGTGCGCTTTTGTGATAAAAATGGCATCGCGTCACCGTAAAGCATTTACGATCGAGGAAAAATGTAGAATAATACGTAGATTAGAAAATGGAGAATCAAACTCATCTCTGGCAAAGGAGCTTGGGGTCGGTCATTCGACCATCTCAATGATTTTTAAAAACAAGAACATCGTTGAGCAATCGTTCAATTCAAATGTTTTGAAACCGAAGAGGCTTCGAAAATCACGACAAGAAAATATTGATCAAGCCTTAATTCAGTGGTTCAAAATAACAAGAGGCAAAGGAATACCCGTCAGTGGGCCAATGCTACAGGAGAAGGCAAATTTTTTTGCTGCACGTTTTAATAACGTCGATTTCAATTGTACTGCAAGCTGGATCAGTCGTTTCAAAGTTCGACATAATATTGTGGCAGGAAAAATTGTCGGAGAATCTTTGTCTGGTGATGAAAATTCAACAACAAACTGGTTAACATCTGTATGGCCAAATCTACGTAAACAATTTTCTGATGACGATATATTTAATGCTGATGAAACGGGACTGTTTTATAAATTAATGCCGGAAAGAACTTTAAAATTTAAAGGTGAGAATTGCAGTGGAGGAAAATTATCAAAAGACAGAATCACGCTTATGGTAGCTGCTAATATGAGTGGCACAGAGAAAAAGAAATTGCTCATTATTGGCAAGTCCCAAAAACCAAGATGTTTCAAAAGTATTAAATCATTACCTGTCGATTATGCTAACAATCGTAAGGCTTGGATGACGTCGGAAATCTTTGAAAAATGGATTCGAGATTGGGATCGTGATTTGGTGAAGAAGAATAGAAAAATTTTATTACTGGTTGATAACTGCCCGGCACATCCAAATATTGCTGATTTAAATTCAATAACACTTGCTTTTTTTCCACCGAATACTACTTCAATACTACAACCAATGGACCAGGGAATAATTCGTTCACTGAAAACAAATTTTAGAAAGAACCTTGTTTTAAAAATGATTCTATGTGTTGATGATAATGAAGATCTTTCTTCAAAAATAACGGTGCTAGACGCAATTTTAATGGTCAATGATGCCTGGAACAAATTGCAACAAAATACCATTCATAATTGTTTTAGGCATTCAGGATTAAATAAAAGCCACGACGATTCACCATTTCAAATTTCAGAAAATGAATTTGTTGAAGAAGATGTTCCTTTATCTTTGTTGTTAAGAAACCGAAATATAGATTTAGCAACAACACCGGAAATGTGGGAAGAGTATGTTGATATCGATAATACTCTTATCACATGTGAAGAACTTACTGATGAAAATATAATACAAAATATTAATGACAATGAACTATTTGGAAGCGATGAAGAGAAAGAAGTCGATGACAAACTACCTACCGCAGAAGAGGCTTTGAAAGCTGCGGAATTACTATCAAAATTTGTCTCTAGCAATATTGAAAACGAAAATGTAACCAATGCTATGTCTTTTGTACACAACAGTGTCAGAGACTGTTTTTGCAATAAGATGAAGAAAAAAATTCAAACGAAAATTACAGATTTCTTACATTAAAAAGTGCATTGTTATGTCATATTTTTAATTAAATTTGTCAATTTGTTAGTATGTGTCATTTTTTACCTTTATTTTTGTATTAAATTACTGAAATTAATAACATATTCGCCGAAAATTGTTTTTTTTTTTTTTTTTTTTTCAGTACGCTTAGTATGACGACCGCTTAGTATGACCATTTTTCGCCGTCCCTTGAATGTCATACTAAGCGGATTCTACTGTATATATATATATATATATATATATATATATATATATATATATATGTAGCGGCCTGTCAACACGCATCGCATTTCTTCTGGACAGATAGGCTCATCATAGTGACAGCACGGAGGAAACAAAATAGTGCAAGTGTCAGTTCGGATCTCTCTATTGTTTTCTCCCCAGTCTCACTGCCAAAATTATAATTCTTGAAACCTTTTCTTTTTAATTGTAAATAAACTAATACTAACTATATTTTATAAATGATCGATATGATTACACATAGTGTTGTCAATACTAATCATACATAAAATAAACCAAGTATAAAACATAATATTTCGTGGAATTTATTATTTCTACAATATGGACCACGCTTTTCCATATATATATATATATATATATATATATATATATATATATATATATATAATTATATTTATATTTATATTTATATATATATGTGTGTGTGTGTGTTTGTATATGTGCCTATTTGTATATGTATTTGTAAAGAGAAATATCAGATGCATATTTTATATACAGACGATGGAGTATGATGAATTTTTGACTTTGGATCATGTATTCGACTCGATGACACAAAGGAAAATTATGCTGTTAAATCCATATGTCATTCGAATAGTGCAAATGAATCCATTGCAAACATATCGTTTATTTTTTACTCAGGTAACGACAGGTAATGCATTTACCAAAGCAAAATTCTAACATAAACCTAACAAAAAATTTTTTTATTAGGTAGTTAATGGAGAAGTTACAGAAGAAACAATTTCTAAGACGGACCCTATTTTTCCAGGGTGTATCGATATGGATGCTCTTCTATCGACTAGTCGAATAACTTACACAAAAAATGATAAAGCTAAAGATACTTCAAAAAATCTACCTTGTGGAAGTGATATATTTATGGATTCTCATTCTACAGTAAGATCTCTTACATTTTTTTCAAACTTCTCGCGTTCAAGACTAAATTAGATATTTATAGAGTTAAATAATAAATTATTTGTTAGTGCATAAAAAAGTGAAAATAATTTTTAACTATAGCTATATTAAGTTATACTAATCGCAAAAAAAATCGAAAATGAAAGTTTTTATATATCTTGACGTTGCAAAGGTTTCTGAATATTTTGGCATACCTTAGAAAAAACTGGTGTTTCGTCTGGGTATGTCGGACTCAATACCTCCCTGGTAAAATGCCGACTAAAACCTCCGCTTTGCCCTTGCCTCTGGTCCTCACGGAAACCGCCGTTAGGCATTACTTCGTGGGGGGAGGATCTAGAATGTTATAATTCTGAACTTCTTATAATGAATGTTATACATTCATTATAAGTTCAGTTAATGAACTCATCTTCTAAATGGGGAAAGTCCCATTTGCTCTTTCTCTTGCCATAGAACGCATGTTAATTAGCACCTCTCTCGCAAATCTGTGTGTATGTGTGTGTGTGTGTGTGCGGATATAAATTTTTGTCGACGATTTTGGGAACACCGATCAACCGATATAAATATTTCAAAAAACATTCGATTCGTATTGATAAGGAGACGTGCTGATTAGTTTTTGGCGAAGGTATGTCTAGCGTTCCGTCCGATTTTAATAATTCAAAAACCAATTTACTTGTATTGACGAAATGAACAACTGGTAAAGGCAGGTCCAGCGGTTATAGACTCTCAATAAAAATAAGTTAAAAAGCGTCATTTAGCGGTCAAAAATGTTTATTAGACATATGTACATCATATTATCAGATATTTTATTTATAGATTTACTTTTTATAGATAATTACACATTTTCTGTCATTTTTTTTTGGGTTCCGTACCAAGAATTTTAATTTTGAAGTTTATTTATATGGTTGAAACAAATTTCCTCGACATTTTCGACTGTATGGAATAACCGATTTGCATGATTAAAAATTCATTCGGTTCGTACTTGATCGCGAGTCGTTTTTGCAAAAGGCAATTTTGTCGTTTTGGAGGTATGAAGCGCAAAGTGTGTAAAAACGGTTATGCAGTTTTTGAGAGAACCGATTATCCGATTAGATTAATTCAAAAAAACATTTTGCTTGACAGTGTGAAAATTTAGAAAAAAAATGATTTCTTACAAAAAATGAAGAATATTTCGATAATTCCAAAAAAATCGAATCTTTTCAAAAATTTCCAAATTCTCAAAATATTTAGAAAAAATGTTTTTTTTAAATACTTAAAAATTTTAAACTTCTAAAAGAATTTCAAAATTTTGAAAAAAATGTCTAAATTATCAAAAAGATCAAATGAAAAAATAGAACTTTTGTAAACGTACACATAAGTTGTTCATGAAATACTCTTGTCGCCGAATTTAAAAAGCACTTATAAGTTTACAGTATGTAATAAATAATCTATTTGAAATTATTTAAAACAATTATTAATTATTTTCATTCCTCGAATTTTTAATTACGGTACGGGAAGTTCTAGCAATTTGCCTTAAGGCCCCGATGCCATGCGCCCCACTAGTTTACGATTCATTAATTTGTTGTTACTATAACTTTTTTATTATAATTACTCTTGGTTTACAGATCGCACATATATTTTGTTGACACACATATATATATATATATATATATATATATATATATATATGTATATATATATATATAAGAGGCAAAGATTCAGAAGTTTTTCTTTATTTTTTTCCAAACGTTTCGACATAGGATTTTATGGCATCATCAGTGGATCTACAGAATGAACATTGAAAAATTAATATAAACTAGGAAGAAATGACAGAAATTGGAAAAAGAACTATAGATACAAGTATTATAATTATAACAATAACAATTATAACTAAACAGACAAACATAAGAAATGAGAAGTAAAAAGAAATATATACAAACATACAAAAGCGTAATATATATACATAAATATACACATAAACAGACATATATATATATATACACCTAAGTCTGTTTTTACACGGAGATTGGTTCCAGAAGAATCCGTGTAAAAAAAAAACGTGTAAAAAAAGACATTGATCTTATACAAAAATGGGTGATTTGTTCCTAATCTCTAAAACCTATTAAAATTGGTGAAAAACAAGAATTTTTAAGAACAAGAATTAAATTAGTGCTTTTCACATTTGCTTTGACCAGTAAAAATTGTTTGTACGCGCTAAAGGGGAATTCACTTATATCTTTAAGCCTAGTGTTCGCAAACTATCGATACTATCGATGGTTTCAGACTTTTTTCTTTCATAAATACTTTTTTGTGATATGAACATATTTTGCAAAAATTTAATTTGACAAAAAAAATTTAGGTACATAAAATTTCAAATCGTGCTAAATGAAATAAATTCGTGTAAAAAAATTAAAAATATTCAATTTTCAAACCGTGTTATATCAAAACCGTGTACAAAAAGACCGTGTAAAAACAGACTTAGGTGTATATATATATATATATATATATATATATATATATGATATACATGTACAAACACGTACATATATACATATATATATATATATATATATATATATATATATACAAATAATACGTATATATAAATATATACATACACATATATGCACATATACATACACAAATATATACATATATATACAGGTTCGGAATTACGCTAGTTAAGAGGAAACAAATTTGGAAATATTATTTAGTATTACCTGATAATTTTCACAGAGTAAGGAGGCATCACACCTTTTATTAATGCAAGATTTATTAATGCTGATTAGACAAGATTCAGCAAACCTTCTCTGAATAATGTTCCGTTCATGATAAAGTATACTAGCGTTGTAAAAGTTAAAAGAATGTTTAAAAATTTTTATATGTTCTGTTATCATGGTTTGATTTTGTCGAGGATTTTTTGAGTTATTATCATGTTGTTTTAGTCGTTTTATTAAATTCTGTCCAGTTTCACCTATGTAAATGGAATCACAATCATTGCATTTTAATTTATAGACAATATGTGATGTGCGTTCTAAACTAGTGGGTGATTTAAGGCTGGAAAAAAGAGAGCTAAGGGTTAAGTCCATGTTACAAATTAATCTTAAGTCGACCTTGTGAAACAGTTTTTTTCAAATAGGAAAGAGTTTTTTAATAAACGGGAGACAAACATTGCCAATAATGTACGCCTAAACTCCGTGCAAAATATATTATATATTTCACAAATATTTCGCTATATTCTGTTCAACAAAAACAAAAAACAAGTTAGTGTATATATGATGCGCTAGTTACTGATGTAAGACCATATTTATGTAAGCTACCTTTGTTGTTTTTAAATTTTTTTGTCTTGATTTGACATGTAACCGTTCTACATAAGATTCTCCTAGCTACTACAGGTGATATAAAATTAATCTATTATAGAATTTGGGTTTGAATCATTGTTATCGACTAATTTTAAATTTATATATCTGATTTTATTTCAATTTCATTAATCCTTGATAATGTGTAATAATTTTTGTGATTGCTAAATTGTTTAAATACTTATCTTGATTAAAGTAAATAATCACATTTGTGGTTAGTTGGAACAAAACATTGGGACTACTTGTAACATACAAGAATAAGTTAAGAAAATTGGGTAGAATTTAAAGTTTGTAAGATGTGGTAGAAGTATAAATTGTGTTACAGGAGACGCAATATCTTTTATTTGTATTATGATAATGGTTGACTTATGAAAAAAATCACCCAAAAATATGTTAATTTTCTTTAAAATAAGTAAAGAATAAATTATTAGGAGGCAATATTGTCGTTTTTTGCCGTTACTTCTTGCCTTGGTAGACGTTATAAAACGAACAACTTTTTTTTTAACATTATTTAACAGCATTCAGAACATATTGTTGTTCTATGGCTGTTTGGTTCAATATAACTCAAGTAGTGTTGTACTTGAGTATAAAAGTTGGCATAGTAGATAACCCTCTAATGAGGATTACTAGTCACTTAGAGAAGATCTGCTGGTTGTTTCTTCTTGAGTCTTCTGGGTTGAGAGTCCAACAGCAGCGGTTGTATGATAGAGTTTACTTGGTTATGTAGCCGGGCAAAGTGGGATATGCTTCTTTTGCTGATCACTTCTTGTACTGTTTCCATATGGAGGTCATTATGCAGGATTTCGTTAGATACATACCAAGGCGCGCTTGTGATAAGTCTTAAAATTTTAGATTGTTGTCTCTGTAAGGCCTTGATCCTGGTTTTGCTAGCGCATCCCCAGAGCTCGACTCCATAGGTCCATATAGGTTTAATGGAAGATTTGTAAATAAGAACTTTGTTGTACAGTGATAGCTTGGAGTGATGTTCTATTAACCAATACAGTGACCTGACTTTGCTTCGTAGCTCTTTTATTTTTTGGTTTATATGTTGTATCCAGTTTAGTTTATGGTCCAAATGAATACCGAGGTATTTGATGTTGGAGACCTCTGGTATAGCCTTGTTATTCATGCTGACAGGAGGGCATTTACCCTTTTTCAGCGTGAAGGTTATATGGCACGACTTGCTTTCATTAATTTTTACTCGCCATTTTTTGGACCAAAGTTCTATTGAGCCAAGATGCTCTTGGAGTATTTTGCTGGCTACAATAGGATTAGAGTCGGTAGCCATTATAACGGTGTCGTCAGTAAAAGTTCCTGTAAGGGTGTCGTTGCAAGTCGGAATATCATGAGTATAAATGATATACAAAATAGGCCCCAGAGCACTTTCCTGGGGGGCCCCGGCTTCAATTTTGCGAAATGTCGATACCTGTCTGCCTAGTTTTGTCCGAAAAGTTCTGTCCGATAAATAGGATTTGAAGAATTCATAGTAATCAGGCATAATTTTGTTGATATTGATTAGGAGACCCTGATGCCAGACTCTGTGAAACGAACAACATTTGTGGAATTATTTTTACATGATATGATAAAAGAATAGTTACAACATCCATCCATCTTTATGTTGAAGAAATATGATCAATACATCTCAATGTGTGTTCACTATTTGACCATCCGGTTCGAATGGGCCAAAAATATGTTAAAAGATAGACCATTCGGTTCGAATGAATCAAAAAGTATGTTGTTAAGAGATAGATTGCAAAATGTGTAAGAAGTTCGTGATCCACCAAGATGCTGCCGAATTCTATTAAAACACTTGCACTTTATTTATATTGTCGAAGGACCAGATATACTTAGATAGTGGCTATATCAGACCGAATAAAAGAATAATAATAAATGTTTAATTATTGTATATTTGAATGAAAGATTAAGATTTATAGATGATATGTTAGATAGTTGAAGTTTGAATTAGATGTTATTGCTTTGAATGTTGATTTACGACTTGTTGCTTAGTTGAGTATTGATTTAAGACTTGTTGCTTAGTTGAGTATTGATTTAATACTGATGTTAGTTAGATGATATTTGCTTTAATATTAAATTATAAAGATTTTACAATTTTATATATTTTTCTGATTGGTCCATTTTGTGGAATTAAGCGACATTCCCTTACAATTTTAGATCTAATCAGTGGCTATTACATTTATCAACAAATCAGGTTTTGGTCGGGGATTGCATGATATGTAGAATTAAAACTGGGTACAGGTAATCTGACTTTCTTAGAAATATAAATTAATTGCAGGATGATATATTTAGGGACAGGTGATCAAAATTCTTAGAAAAATGGATTAATGATATGATGATAGATTTAGGGACAGGATGCGTGACAATGAAAGGGATTATTTTATAGTTCTAAATTATATAATAAGGGATGAGGGTTTATTATTGCTATCCTGTCTGACGGTAATAAAATATATAATTAGACCAGGGTTGAGTAAAGCGTTAACAATGTGTCTTGATTAAATAAAACTGTTACAAACAACTCCCAGCTCTCCTATATATAAAATTTATTTGAGAAAATATACTTATAGAAATCAATTTAATATTTCTAAAAGCACAAAATTTTCAGGGTTTTTGTTGCACCTGTGATCAAGATGGTCTACCAACCGGTTCGGATTCGCCGAAGCCAAATATAAATCTAACATCTTCAACCCCACCGACTAAACCAACTAAGAAGATGCATACAGAAAATGTTATGATACATGAAACAACTACAACTCATTGTAATAATACTCCTCCTGCAATTAAACCTGCTGTTGCTCCTTTTCCTACTACTATCGAGACCTTGACTGAAATTACCCCATGTAGTAGCAAAACCGATCCGGAAATTATTAAATCAGAAATGCTAAAGAAGATTTCCTTAACCGTCACTCAGAGATCTAAAAAAATTAATGATGCTACTGAAATCATTGCGGTTTCGATCGGAGAAATGATCGACGTAATTCCTTTGCCCAACGTAACAAGTCACGGCAATTTAACTAAGAAAACTACGCCAAATCCCAATAAAGATGTTGGCGAAGAATATTGCATAGATTTCGAGGAAGATAACTTGATGAATACGAGCCAGCAGAATGCAGATCGTGGTTTTAACGAAGCCAAATCCACTCATTATCCTTACAATAGTAAGAACTTTGACGCACAACATTCATCTGATAATCTTTTATATAATAACCCGTCTACAATACCATATTCAAATCAATTTGACAAAACGAGTTTTCAAACTGAAATCAACGTTAAAAATTTTTTTACCAAATATGGCATTGGCAAAGGTCACCAGATAGTAAATGACACTAAACATGCTTTTTATTACACAGATAACGATGCTAATTATAAAAGTGGTACTACTCCTAATATAATAGACGAGCGTGAACCTAATGATGATGCTCTACCTGATAACCATCCAAAAGTGATAAATCCCAACAAAACCAAATCAGTACACCATCTTAGAAAATATATTGAAAGTAATGCAATTGTTGGAAATCAAGCAGCTCAAGATAAATCAGGTAATGTAAAAAAAGGTAACGTAATTGAACATGACTCAACAAAAGTTTCTATAAAAGATAAATTCAAACAATGGTTGAAGGATGAAACTAAGAATATGGGTAGAATAGAGGACGTGATATCTGCCATTGACAGACAAAATAAAATAAAAAATCAGAACCATATGTTGACTTTTTATGAAACACTTCAAACAAATAAACCTAGTAGAATAGTTTTAAAAAAAATAAAAAATAAATATGATTTGAAAGGCAGCACTGAGCCGCGTATGCATAAGGAATACTCAGATGAAATATTTGTATCTATTAAAAAGCACAATAAAAGTAATGTAAGTATAACTCCAAAATACCATAAAGAAAATAAAATTAAAATTGAAGCTGAAAGCCACAACTACGATTCGCCACAAACGAGTAAAGAAATTGAAACTTTCGTAACAAAAAAGAACCAAGATCAATACAAAAATATAAAATCTCATTTGTTTCATGAGATGGAAAACCCCCATCGCTCAGGCAAAGATTTTTGTAAAATTGCAGAATCCCCAAATAAGACATTGTTTACATCAATCGACATTGATACAAATTGGGAAATTAATGAAACCAAAGATAATATAAACATCAAACCAATAAGACGATCTAAAAGGCACTCTGTGCAAAAATGTAAAAACCTATTAAATGAAAATGTGAATCAATTTGTTAGAACCAAAAACAATAACTTATATAAATTTGCGAGCAAGAAAATGAAGGCAAAATCGTACCCTGGTCACCAAATTGAAAAATTGCTTGAAAAATATTGTAGCACAATTACGCCAAACGATTGTTATTACTATAATATGAATTCTCCATATGATTTCATAAATAAACAACAAATGCACAAACACATATTTAACACAGTAAAGTATAAATGGAATATTCAGTTTTTAAATGTGACAACCCTATTGATTTTTCAGGATTTCTCTAATATGAGTACTAGTAAAAAAATACGTGATAATACATTCTGCTTACCAATATTTATTTGCAACTATAAAATAAAAAAAATAAAATCTATGAAGAATAATTATATTGGTGAACACATATATATTTTGGATATGAGTAAGGTTAAATATATTGATGAACAAATAAGACCAGAATCTCAAATTACAGTTTTCGTTCATCATAAACCCAATTTTAATAGAGAATATGAGTTGAAATATCTTGGCGAAAAAAAACATGGCACAGTTTTGCCAAGTAACATTGGAGAATGTGAAATTAAAAAAATGAATTCGGATTTGTTATCCCAGCAAATATTTATTGATAATTTTATGAACAACATATATATTAGTTTATTTAACAAAATACACAATGTACTGAAATTCTTACAAAAACCTAAATCAATGATACTGTCAGTAAAAAGTAGGACAGACAAAAGTTCCCAAAATTTACGAAGAAAACGAATGACGCACCAAGATAATCATTCTAGTATCATTTCAAATAAAGATATATCTACTGAAGAAAAAATTCATGTAATCAATATTATGACGGGAAATAATAATATTACATCTCAAGATTTTTCTAATCATACCGAATCCTACGATTCCCGTCTCTTAAGAAAACGCCAAGATCCATTTGAATGCGGAGTGCAGGATACAGCTGATTGTATGAAATTTCATAATCTTTGGTAATTTGTTTAAATTTACTTATTAAGATATTTTATTGATCATACTTAGATTAGATTTTAATTGATATTTTTTATTCAGGTATTCAGTTTATGGTATAGGTACGCCTAAACTGAATCAAAATGTAGCTATCCAAGTGTTTGAAAGAGTTACTTTGCAAGGATGCAATGACAAGTATGTCGCTATGTCCGAAGAACCAATTGTCATAAGTACCATTGACAAAAATTCAGTAGTTACACAAAGTATTACAGTAACATATACATTATTAACGAAAATAGACATACACAATATACCAAAAAGGAGTTATTTGCAGAGCAGAGCTATACATAAAAGAAAAGAAAAAAATAGAACTTTCAATCCCAATCTAGATATACCAAAATATTATTTAGATCCATCAGTTCATAAATTATTAGTTCCACAACCAGTTCCCCTAAGAAAGATGGGGCTTTATCCTCCTATTCGTGGTGGACCTGCTGAATATCTAGTCGTGGATTCAACCTTAATTGGACCTGAATGCCAAAAAGCTGGTGTAAGTTTTCGATCTTTTGCACAAGCACGAGGAAAGCATAAAATAAACAGAAAGGGTTGTTTGATAAACCAACCACTTCAATTTTGGAAACACGATAAAGATTTTGAGAAGAGTAATAAAACTGGAAAATATTTTTTAAAGTACTTTGGATATCTTGCAGGACAGAATACGTTCACAAATACTACATTGAACTTAAAATTTACGGGCGCTCTCCAATATTCTTTAAACGGCGATGTTCGAGCTGATTTTAATGGCATTATACGTGTAGGGACATCAAACCTGATTTCTCAGATACTAGTAGATGCTTCATGTCCTTTGGTTACTGTTTTATCCGTAACTGTTTACAACCTTGGCCTGTCATCCGCTTCTTACCGAATGCGCGTAACAGACTGCGGTCCTGGATTACCTTATTTGTGGAGTAACTTAGAGAGTACTTGTTTCTTAATTCCTCCTCAGAAGAGTCACAAATTTACAGTTCGTGTACCTGGACCGGCCCACAGCAAGGTTCCAGGAACCTTGTTCTGTTCCGTTGAAATACTCAACGCCAGGAGAGAAATTGTGTCAGCACGTAGAATGAAAATTTTACAAATGGCCAGGTGTTTCTGTGAGTGGCACTGCCTTTGTGTTTGCGTCATGAATGTAGGTGCTTTGCCAAAAGTTAGGGCATTAAGGTGCGAAGATATGTCCCCGAGCCACATGCATATATGTGGGATGGAAGGTTTACCATCTGAACAATACATGACACGATTTTTAGCTATGCAATATATTATATTAGATGTCATTATATTTATTTCAACTATACTGTTGATACTGTTAATTTTAGGCTTGGCTAAGGCTATTATAGGTTTCATTTGTTGTTCAGAAGTTGGTGCTTGGGGTATAGATATGATACGCAGCAAACCTAAACCTATGACTGAATATTTAGAAGAAAAATTTAAGTCTAGAGTTGTCAAGTACAACACTAGGGGATATCCTGTGCATCCTGACACTAGAAAACGAACAATTCGCACATTTTCGCATACAGGTCAATTTTTACTCAATCTAATATTTTTTATAATTTACCCTTTTATTGGTCTGTGCTGTCATATAAGGCATTGGATGTGCAACAGAGCTGTACAAGAATGCGAAACAGAATGTTGGGAAAATCGTATAACTACAAGAGAACCATCATGGAGTTGTGATAAAGACGAGGATGATGAACTGCAAAGATTACTCGAAAATAATGATGTGGATTGTGACACGAGTGGCAGGCTACGAGGTGCAGGGTATGATGAAAACAAGCGTCTTGAGTATCAAAAAAAGAAAGAAGAAATTCGAGCAGAGAAGACGGTCATGCTGCAATTGAAAAAAAGCCATGAAACCTTGCTAGAAAATGGAATTGATGTACTATGTCGTAGCTCCGGTGTTAACCTGAATAACATGGTAAAACAGAAGGTCAATAAGAAAGAAATGAATGATGCTCAATATCTGATTAACTCTATGTTAGAAACCAGAGTAGTTTATCGAACATTGAAAAAAAGTCTCGGAGGTGCTTTAGTAGCAAAAAACAAAGTTTATTGCGTCCGCGGGTACTTTTTACGTACATTAATAGGACTAACGTTTATTACACCCACTCCGATGCTTCAACACTGGGAAATTCTATCAAATGGTAAACTTCGCCAATTGATTCCTCCGAGAGTTTTAATGTCTCCAGAATTTACATCTGAATACAAAAACGGTTTGCAGGTTATTCGAAGTGGTGATCTGTCTTTATCACCTTTATTTTCGTGTATAAATTCCAAGAACCAAATTAAGCCAAAACAAAAGCGATCAAAAAAATAATTTGTATAAAATTTGATATTTATTCAAAGATGTGTTGTGTGAACAAAATACGTATGAATGAATACATTATTACAACTAAAGTATTTTTCTTATTAATATATTAAAATAAACTTGTTATGTTGTTTATTTTGTTTTATTGACATTGACAAATGGTAGAACAGTAGATCTAGATATTATTTTAGAGCTAAAGATGTCTTCAAGACTTTTGTCACTTTTGTCAACATTGACGAACAGTACATATAAAAACGCTTAAAAAGATAATTGCTTTTTGGAAATTATTATACTAAACTTATTTTTATTACAAAAATTTCTACTAGTTAATGTCTGATATTATATAATTAAAAACTTTCACCTTTATAAAGGCGTTCAGTCATTATTAACTTCCCGAAGGAGAAGTTTATGTTTTCGCAAAAAATGATTCTGATTTGCTTATTTTATGTTTAGTTCCCTGACGTGTGATCATTGTCAACACCGATCGTGTTTTAATGTTGAGTCAGCAACTTTAGAGGACAACGAAAAATCGCTATTGAGACAATGCTCTTACACTCAAAATGAAGAAGGAGAAGAAGAAGAAAAAGAAGACTAAGAAAATCGAAAAGAACGAGAAGAAGAGATTTAGCTGTTTTTTATAATTATCGTCTTTATTTTTACCAATACAAATTTACAAATATTACTTTGCAATAGTCCAAAACAAACAAAATCACAATATACCCGTGTAATTGGCCTGCTGGGAAACCACGTAAAAAACGCGCTAAGCACACTACCTCGTTCAACTGTACTTTTCAAAGTGATATACCTTCAAATAGGTGGCCCTGAAGAAAAAAGTATTCAGACATTTTTTGTAAATAATTTTATGATCCACAATTTTTTCTCAGGTGATTTTGCGATAAAACTGACCGTTTAACTGAAAATCGAAAAAAGATAATTTTTTGACCTTTGACCTTGTGCCAATTTTTTAGCTCGCACCGGAACGATGAGAACTTTTGAGATTTCTTTTATAATTGTATTTTAAACAGTTTCACAAAGTTACAGCCCATTATGTATTATTGTAATCTTCACCCTGATCTAAATCGACCGGGCTATTTCTCGTTTCAAGTGATTCTTAATTGAATGAGAATGTGTGTATATATATGTGATACGATTTTTAATCTTTTGTCGACGTTTTTTCAAAAGCGGCTGGAGTGATTTCGAAAATTTAAAAGCCATTTTATGTATCCCAATACATACTATTGTTTCTGTTTTCTACGATCGGCCCATCCTTTTTGCTTTGTAATTAGCAGAGAAGTCATTTTTTTGTCCACATTTTAGCCCGCAACCCTGAATCGATTTTGATAAGTCCAAAGCCCTTCGAAAGATATTGGTTGGGAATCGTACTGATTAGTTTTTGGTGAAAACCGGTCGGGCCGTTTTCTTGTAATTAACGGTTAAACTTTTTTCTTGACAATTTTTTGAAACATTTTTTAGTAATAGATATTATGGTTTGTTAAAATTAGACCTTTCATCGACGTTTTCTCAAAAATGATTGAATAGATTTCCTTAACTCCATAAGGACTATCGTTTCTCAGTTTTGTGCGACAATCGACCGACCCGTTTCTTTGTAATTAGCAGAAAGTGAAAAAAATTTTGTCCAAAATCTTGAATCTATTTTATTCGAAAAATTCAAGAACCTTTCGCAAAATATTGGTTGGGAATTATGCTGATTAATTAATATCCCGTAGGGTAGTTATAGTAATGGGTCGAAAATCGAAAATGAAAATTTTTGCATATTTTCACGTTTTGAAGGTTTCTGAAAAAAAATGGATGTGTGTGTGTTTTGTATGTTCGCATTTTTTATTAAGAGCTAAATATGCAAAAAATGGAAGTTTTTTAAGAGAAATGAGCATTCGAATGATTCAAAAAACTTCTTGTTTGCGTTGACAAAATAATTGCTTTTGGAAACAAAAAATTGTTACAATTTTTTTTTCAACAAAATTTTTTTGGGCACTGTAATTAATATAATTACATATAATATAAATGTGTTAAAGAAATATCAATTAAAAATCGCGTTGCTTAGATTTAAAAGAAAGCAAAAATTTTCGATTATAAGCAGTTGAAAATTTTATCTAAATACTAGCTGAACCGCGGTAAACGTTGTTTTGCCATAAAAAATATTTTTAGTATTCGCTCCGAGCGTGACTGCAGCGCCCATGCAGCGCCGTAATAAATATGAACTAATTGAGGCTATCAGTGTGTGGTTTTCATGGGTTTTACATGTTTGTTAAAGAAAAAAGATATTAAATAATTGTTATAAATAATAATGAACAAGATACAGTAATAATGTGAACGCTGAATGTTTATTGAAATTATTAAATTTACTTCAACGTACTTAAAACATAGTTAAGTATAATGATTAATTAAATAAAGAAATGCAGTAAATAATTTTAAGGTTAAGTGCCTCAAAGCTTATGTCATAATCTCGGAATAGTTCTTAATAAAAACAATTTAATAATGATAAATAGTATTTTATCAATAGAATAAGTAAATAATAAATTAATTTACTCATTTTTTTGGTCAAACTAAAGACTTAGACACTATTATAAAGACATAATTTAGACATTATTATAAAGACAAGACCAAGTTGACAAGTAGGTAGGACTCAATACCTCGACCGATTCACTGCAAATGCGATCATAGGGCTTGGGAACCCACGGTGATCCATCAACACTACAAATATATATTTCGCATTATTTCAGCATTGTATTAATTAAACTGTTTGCAAAATAAACATTTTTTCGCTATGTGATAACTTTTATTTTTCTTTTAATCATAAAATTACAATTATTATATAATAAAATGTAATTAATATATAGATAATAGTTATACATAATCAATATACAATATATAAATATGTATTTTTCATTATTTCAGGCTTGTATTAATTACATTGTTTTACAAAACATTTTTTTAGTAAGCATTAAATTTTGATAATACAACAATTTATTGACTTATAATTTTTCTTTTTGCTGAACATAACAATTTTACAACTATTCATAATACTCCGAATTGTATTTTTATAACAATAAGGTTATGATACTTACTTTATTCTTCTAACCGCTGCGATCCACTTTTCCCGTTGATTTTCTTTCCACTTAGCTGTAGAAAATGTATAGAATTTGCAGTCACTTTTTCTGCTGGTATTTCTACAACCCACTACACAACAGACATGGTGGTTCATTTTTAATTATCTTATTTAAATTTGAAATAAATAAATATTTTATGTGTTTTTGTTTAAAATTTTGTTTATAATAGCCCCTTTTAGTGCTCCAAGTTAGCCACTACGAACGCTTCGGTCGATTTGACTTCCCCTTCCATGCCTTCGCACATAGCCAATAGAAAAACTAACTGCTTGCAAATGTGGTATATAAGTGAAAAAAAAAACAAGTAACAAAACATATATGACCAGTTTACGCACTGCAATGTACGCTACATATAAGTGTTTCTGGGTTCCTGGTACACTGGGAAAATGGGATGGACGCAGGGGCGTATCTACCGCCGTATCTGCCGTATCAAAAATACGGAGTCCCCGAGCCAAGGAGGCCCCCAACGAGCACAATCAGAAAGCAAAACATTTTTTTTAAATGAATAATTTTAACGTAGTTTGCATTTACTTTTGTTATCGAGAGGTATTAAACTTCAACATGTAAGCTTTAAGAGAATTTATTTCTGCTGCAATATTTCTGCAAGCTCTAGCAATCAATTCAATTAGTAAGATTTTGCACATCCGATAAGTTAATATTCTTGTCAACAAATCTATAAAACTAATCCAGTTTATACATGCTTCATCGAAAATTGGAATTTTTATAGTAATATTTATAACATTTACATTATATTTGTTTATAACATTATATTTGTTCTTGTTACTACTTGAATTGTTTAATAGTTAGATTATGCTAAATATGATCAACTAAATCATTTTCAGATTTCTTTCTTCACTGTTTCAAATTATTAGTTTCATTTCTAGAATTTCACAATATGACATTAATCATGACCAATTGATGGCTCTAGGTTTGAATTTGAAATCTAAGAAATGTGTTGGATGCATTAGGCTTGCATCTAGTTTTCCCAACGAAATAACAGCATGCATTTTTCTCTTGGCCCTTCCAGTTACAATCGCAACTGCTAAAAGAAATTTTTAAAATTGAAACTAAATAAAAATTACGTAAAAATTTAAGGACAGAAATGTCTACCAGACCTATATGTTTCTAGTGACAGAATCTTTATAAAATTTAAATTTTCAACAAAATGCAAAGAAAGTGAATATATATCTGGAACACACACATACTTTTTCCAAATTTGGTCTCATTCGATTCAGAACGGCTTGAAACGTCGAGAAAACATAAAATTAGCGAATCGGATTTTTTGATGAAAACATAAACTTCTCCTTCGGGAAGTTAATAAATATTCTTTTGATTTCATGTATTTTTATATTTTGCAAAAAAAAATCTTCTTGAGGGGGGCCCCCAAACAACTTTTGATACGGGGCTCCGCCAAGGCACGCTACGCCCCTGGATGGACGGACAACTCTTGATAAATATTTTTTTTAAATAAAATTCTTGGTTTATCACGAGGTCAGGGGTGGACAACTCTTGATAAAAATGAATAGTATTTTGAAGTAAAAACGGTTCTTGGATTCAGTGTACAGACGTGGGCCACAGGTTGGAGGGGGCCATCCGAATAACAATAAGACTGGTGATATGTGTGTCGAACCCCGCACATATTCATTAACTTCCCGTAGGGAAAGCTATAGTAATCGCAAAAAAATCTAGAATGAAAATTTTTATATATTTTTACGTTCCAAAGGTTTCTGAATATTTTGGGATACCTTAGAAAAAATGGATGTATGTGTGTGTGTGTTTTTTTGTATAGCGAAGGAAATGCTTAAATGCATCCCAGGTGTTTTGTCTGGAGGTGATTTTTTTTGTATAGCGAAGGAAATGCCTTTATGCATCCCAGACCGGTCT